GAACCACTGGAAGGATTTTACTGAACTTTCAGGAAATAATAACTGGATGCACCTCTACAACTGTTTAACTTTTAGAAACAACCTAATTTAAGATGGCTGCCCCAGCTAAATGACATCAAAAAGCACAATTACTATAATTCAGTAAATTATAAAGATTTTGTGCTAAAATGTGGTTGTAAGTCATTCACATAACACATATTTCAAGGGCTACTCATTCTGCACGATCTTTACTAAAAACTTTAGCATTGTGAGAGTCAACGTTGTTTGTCAGCAAAATATAAACATTGGATGGATTTCAATTAAATTTGAAAGCAATTAATGGATATATCTCTACAACTAAATTTGTAGAGTCAGTGCAGTTCAACATGACTGCCACAGCAAATCGACATAAAAATAGCAACTATTCCACCAATTTCACAAATGATGAGCTAAAACTGGGTGTGGTTGAAGCTGAGAGTCGTCCACAACACATGCGCTCTGTGACATCTAGCATGACGTTTTAAGGTTTTACTGAAACATTGACAACTCTGTCATTTGGAACTTAATTTATTAAAGATTGTCATGTCAGTAAACCCACTGCAGCCCCGGTGCAGCAAGATGACTCCTCAGGAAACAGCGGACATGGGTTTATTCTTAAGAGTCTTATTATGATCTCTTTTATCCCAGGTTAAGACCATATAATGCCTGCTGCTCCACTTGGACACTTCTGCATACATCATCATGTTCCTGCAGACAGAAGTTAAGACAGCTGAGCTGTGGTGAACGGACACACACAGAGTCTTTGAACAACGTTCCGTTAAACCTACAGGTTCTCCCTGCCTGTCGAAGCACGTTCATCTATTTAATGAAAAACTGAAAGTGAAGCAGTAAGAACACTGGTTTCATGCAGGGACATGTCGTACCGGGGCTGGTGTGTGCAGGTATTTGAAAAAAATAAAATAATCTGAATGGCAGCACATTTTGCTCCAAAGCCTGAATTTATCATTCGCTAATGATGATGTATTATTTCAGCTCAAACTGGAGGCAGGATTTTAAATCGTGCGTACACAAGCTGAGCCCGAGACCTGCTCGGCTCTTCCAAAACCACTTCACCCCAGCCCATCGGTCCAATAAAGGGGACACTGTTCACAGATCATGGCTTTTGACAGATTTAAATATATTAGTTCATGTTGTGTTTGAGTACTGATATTTTTCTGTGAGACCTTCTGTCGTTTCACACTAAAGTTATCACCGTAGTTTGAAAACATTAATTAAGGACAAGCATTTCATGCCAGTCATGTTGATCAAATCAAAGACTGCATGTCAAATACAAAAATATTTAGGTCAAACCTTGAAAATGTATGCAATACTATAAGACTGAGTACGTTCAGTGAATAACTCAACTACTACCACATTCAATTTTAGGTCCATATCTGTAAAACTGATGAGGTTAAAAGCATTTTTATGTTGGCTATACTTGAAAGGAAAGATTTCTTATGAAGACTGTGTTGCTTTATTAAGAATAGGTTTCAAAAAGTCCCTAAATACTGGTATGCAAATCATTCCTGGAAAGCTACCAGGAAAGACTAAAACTAATAATTACTTTAACAAAAGAGAATAAATAAGAACAGGGATTACAGATGTGAAATTAAAGCTGACATGAGTTCTGTTTTTAGTGAGACTTACTGGGATTAAATAGCAATTAAATTAAAGATTGTTACTCTAAACCAGGGGGTTCCCAACCCTGGTCCTTGAGGAACACCATTCTGCATACTTTGTTTCTCTGCTCCGACACACCTGATTTTAAGAAATGGGCGATTTACAGTCTTCTGCAGAACATGAATTAAATCACAATCAGGTGTGTTGGAGCAGGGAAACACTAAAACATGCAGGATGGTGTTCCTCAAGGACCAGGGTTGGGACCACTGCAAAATGGAGCAAAAAAAACTATCCGTTTGCTAAACATCCTTATCAGTAAATTATTAAAACCGTCTTGAACAGTCAAAAAGAAAAAGGAAGACATTTCATTGTACAATAAACCTTTAATAAATAGTTCGTCATTAGTTTCCCGTATTTACATAATAACCACGGTTTACTTACGTTGCCATACATATTTCTTGGCTAATTTTAGGCACACAGAGAAGGGGTCCAGGCCACAAACCACACTGTACTAAAAAATAAAGAGTGGCTAGCAGGTAATTCTTGAGAAAAATAGAACTGCACCGTACAACCAAATGAGACGAGGTGGCCGCCTCCTTGAACGATAAATATATACATTAACTGTACGTACAAGTGATTTTTGTACATTTACAGTCATCTGGGTGTGCGTGGGTGGGGGTGGGGGGTGGAGGGGCTGGTGCAGAATCCAAATGGGTCAGACTTTAGGAGTTAATATATCAAAAATGATAAATGGATCATGAAATTTAAACAACTCGTTATTGACAACCAAACCTGAAAGAATAAAATAAGTCAGATGGTGAGGGTAAAGTGTGGTCAATGTGTAGTTTGATGGGAAAAATTCAGATAGATACAAAGAAATACACATAAACACACAGCAAAAAACAAAACAAAAAAAAAACCCTGAAATGCTTGTTATTAAATGAAGACTGAAAAGAGGCAGGTGGGAGATATCGTACTGAGCATAGTCTTAAAAAGCTATTAAAAATAGCATTAAAACTTAGAGCATTAAGACAAGAGGAAACAAAAACCAAAACACACACACAGCAAAACTTGGCACACAATTTGACACACTTTTGAGTTCAGAAACAGCATTAACGCTGCTGCTCGATTGGAGAGGCATTAATGAAATCAACTGTTCTATCTTAGACGTTTCTGGCAGCAAACGCGGTACGTGACCAAAAGCAAAAATTTTAAAATCTGCTGGCAAAACATAAAACAAAAAAAACATTGTTTAATAGCTGCAGACAGGTGTGCCATCTACAAGAAACACAAACACCAGACCCCGACATGTTAAAATGATGGGATGGTGTCAACATGTTGAGTTCAGGCGTTTACAGCTTCTTAAATTAGTTTTAAAGTTGACGGTAAACTGTAATTTTTTTTTTTTCACACACTAACTACATTTCTGATAAACGCAAAAGGAATGTCTCCCAGTTTATATTTGTTGAAAATACAAGACCCTTTAAAAAAGTGCAAACACATACAAATGGAAAAAAAAAAGAAGAGACAAGCAGGGTTTTCTCTCGCCTCCAAGCTGCTGCAGCTTTTGTTCCAACAGGACCTTTGGTGCGAAAAATAATCACTTCCTATTGTCTTTTTCCAAGCATTGTTTTTTTGACCTTATTAGAAAACTACACACCGCTGGGGGAATGCTATATGAACGTAGGAAATGTGCTACAAAGAAACAAAAACCCAACCTCAGGGACACCAAAGGGATCTCACTGTGACTGGCTGGCGTGTTGGGGAGAGCCTTACGGCTCGATGCTGAGCTCAGTGAGACTGCAGTGGAAAAAACACGTCCGCCAACAGTCTCGGCTCAGCGAGATACCATCATAAGTTTTGATGGGCCTGACATGAAATAATAAAACTGTTTTAAGAAGTTCTTCATCGAGGCGGGTAATTAAAAACAAAGACGTCAGCCCTGCTGCTCACTCTCTCCATCCCATCTTTGCATTCATAGACCAAAGTATGACTGAATTTACTGGAATTGTTCAATTAATGTTTCCGTTAAGAATTTTGGTACAAACTTGCCTTTCAAACTGGATGGTGTAAGGTTTCTTATGCTAAAGACAGAACCGTGGCTCTTGGCGTCAAGCCTTTCTTAGCACTTTAGTCAATTTACTTACAAGCTTTACTAAACAAACAAAAAAAGACTTATCAACTGGATTCCTGGTAAGATGACGAGTCCCCCCTGACCCCCGTATTCTGCGTAAACTGTTTTAACATCATGAAGCAAAAGTACAGGCTGAAACTTGGTCTGTGATTTTGGGGCTATCCAGTGGTAACGATGTGAAGAAGCCAATGAATCTGGATTTAAATGATTGATCTAATCTAATGTTGGTCACCGTCTCCAAAATGTTACAACTCCAACTTCAAATACAAGATGCCATAAAAGTCAATTAATCGGTGGTTGCTACATGTTGTTACTGTTCAGAGAAAGTTGCCATCCCCCGTTTAATCGCATCACTACTTAAATGTCAGGGATAGTAGGGAACCAGAACCCTGCTCTACACGACGCGCATCCTTCGACTCGTCTGTGGCAGCGGGCTCGTCGATATACTCTTCAACCTAATTATGATACTTCGTATTAACAGTCGGTGTCAACACTGACACGCTGATAACAATGCTCCAGCTCCAAACGGTCGGGAGGCTTTTAAAAATAAAAACCGTGGTGGTGATAAATGTCAGGAAACAAAGGAACAGGAAGGGCACGATTACAAAAGAATAAAAAGTGTCTAACAGCTCCGATGGGAGCAATAGGGTCAAGATTACAGCCTTCTCAGACCTCGGTCTTCATACAGGTTATGCAATATATTTTCAAGGTTTAGTCACTTCAAGGCAACATTTGTTTCTTGAATTAAAAACTTGAAGCAAAACTAGCTTTCAGTTCGAACAGAGAAAAATATACAACCCAAACTGTACTACGAATCTAAAGAAATGTTAAGTAAACATTGAAAACAAAAAAAACAACAGTTCAGCTGATAAAGTGGTCTCGTTCCTGCACTTCTCCCTGCAAGAAGTGTGATATTCAAACAAACTGTGGTCCTAACAAAGCTTATTGTATCTGAACCGTTTGGCCATCCTGGATGAGATCAGGCAGCGGCTCTTCGACTCCTCTCACAGTTTCAAGTCGCTGTGTGCACAGAGGAAGAACTGTGATCCCTTTCCTGGACGCTTCGACAGGTTTGGAGTCACATGGACAGGCTTCAGAACCGGTTAGCTCATGGCAGAGCGACACAAGGGCGCTCAACTGCTTCACTGCTGTAAGAGCGACATCAAGACCGACACAGGAAGTAACATATGAGAGAAACCCCACTCTGAACAAACCAAACTGCTTCAGTTTTGTACCCGTGGGTTGGGGGCGAGCTGTTAAACCTTTCACTCGTTCTCACCAAAACTGGAGTCCAAGTGTGCCACGTCTCTCTTACACAATTTTTTAACTGCAGCCTAAAAAATTAAACAAAATCCTAAATCCAGCTTCTTTCTCACAGGATCTTTAGAGAGTTCTCACAAAACCCTGCTTTTAGAAAGAAAACAGCTGCAAAGGATGGAGCACCCATGTTTGTGCTGTGGACACAACCCCACGATCAACTCCTCTTCAGGGAGTTAAACGTGTGCCTGAGGTGCATCCATGTGGTAAAATGTGCGCATCTGTCCATGTATGGAGGGTCTACTCGGGGTAAAAGCGAGGGAGTCTGCCCCCTTTAGCTGAGGTTATACGCTGCTGTCCTCCAGCAGCGGCTCCTTGCCCTCTGCCCCGCTGCCCTGGGGGCTGTGGGAGTGACTCTGCGCCCCGTTGCTGTGCTTCTTATAGGCGCTGGGCCTCAAACCGGGCCCAGTGTGCTCAGGGATGAACAGGGCCACCAGCAGAGACAGCAGCACTGAGCATGCACCGAAAAGAAAAGGAGGTCCTGGGATGATGGCACTCTGAAGAAAACAAACAGAATGTGTTCATGGAAAACTTGTCGATCAGAAAAGTGATTAAAAACAAGAGAAACGCGCTCCCGTCAGAGCTCACCTCATCAGTGGGGTTGGCCATATTGGGTTTGGCACCTTTGTCAGAGCCGTCCGTGTCGGAAAGCTCCACGTGGAACAAATAGAAGACGAAGCCATATAGGGCAGGACCCAAACCGTTACAGAGCCCCCGAATTCCAGTAATCATTCCCTGGACGACACCTACATGCGACATAAACAACAATAATTTAAAAACTAGTGCATAATCAGAATGGCAGTTTCTGCACCTTCTTGTACACAAGAGAAAGCACACGTCGTAACCTGAACTTGTTTGTTTTTCCAACTGCAGTGAAACATCAGAAAACATGTTATTTATTCACGAGTCAGAGTTCAGTGACTTCAGGTGACATCTCACTGGGCTGCGACAGCTGGACATTAGTTGGAGACTCAAAATAACAAGAAAACGAGGAACTTTTCAGATGCGGTCGTACAGAATTCTTAATGTTTGTGACCAGCGATCTGTGTGGCTGCAGCTAGTTCGATTCAGTTATCGGCTCGTTTTTGTGTGCACAGCTCGCAAAACTGAATTTAAAGTCGTGCACCTTCTTTTGTTGCCCACATCACACCCACCGCAGCCAGCTTTGCACCCACCTTGGCAACTACCCCCACATTTATGATTTAATCAATTGGACTCCACTTTTTAATTGAAGAAAGGCTGATTTGGACCAGTTTTTGTCAGTAAATAATATTGATCATTACCATGTTTTTCAAATTAAGTTTCAGACGAGCTCCTGTCCAGGTGTCAAAATAGCTCTCTGAGACGCCCGTGACAACTCTGCCACTACTTAATATAATTAAATAAGTTATTTTGCCTAATGCTATTCAAAGTAAATTTGTTTGATAGAAATAAATACTAAAAAATGTGTAGAGCTCACCTTGCTGGTCAGGGTCTGCGTTACGAGACACAATGGCGCTGATGGCAGGGAAAGTGATGCTGGACATGGCTGCAACGGCTCCGGCTGCCCACATCATCCTACAACCACAATTAGCAGTTAAATGAAGGGAAAAAAAAGAACTAAAACATGTCGTCAAAGGTGAGGTAGAAATCATTAAAAAAACACAAGTGTGCTTGAATTTCATAATAAAATGACAAGATAAACAGTATTTTCTATTATTTCTGAACAAAGGGGAGCTTTGTTGCTGCAGTGCATAATATGACCAATTTGACCTTTAACTTGATTCCTGGTGTATTGAGCAAACTGGAAGAGACATGTTGTAAAGGTTTTATTTTAAAAAATCAATTCATATGCTATATTCTTTTTTTTTTTTCTCCCAAGACCAAAAGAACAAAAGACTGGGAGTGATATCACTTCATGAGAAATTAAACATTCTCAAATGTTCATTAGAAACTTTTTTAAGATGCAATATTTAAAAATTGATTAATTTAAGGTTTTAATTTTCACAACAAAATTAGAGAAGTGTAACCTCAGGACACAAGAGTTAATTTCACTGTTTCATTAAAACAAAAACAGTTTTTAAGTCTTTGAGGAGCCCAAGAATTGTTTCCAAGGCTATGCTTCCCTCTAGTGGTGAGTTGCAGTAATGACAACTAACATTTTTTGTTTCATCTTTTACAGTAGTTGGTCAGCAACACCCCCACTAACGATGACACAGGTCCAGTTTAAATGAGAGCAGCTGATCCCCCATTTACCATTTGTCCTTTTTAAAAGAGATCATCTTTCCCCACACAAGTTCTTGTTGACCACAAGCCTAGCTGAAGTGACTAAAACTAAAACAGGGATCAAATGTGTGATCAAAAATACTGAATATTTACTCACCAGGGTTGAGAGCCAAAGCCGTACCAAGCTAGTTGGAGGATCTGGAAGCCGAGGCCGAGCAGGATTGTGTTTTTATTCCCTATGGAACGCATCAGGATACCCAACACAACCGTCTACAGTAAACAAGAAACACATGCAGTTTGTTTGTGGGCAAGCACACTCAGACATTTACTTATATCATTCCTGAAAATTGACAGAGAGCTAAAATAACTATTTTTTTGTAAATGACATCAAATCACAAGTGAAAAGAAAACTATTGGAAAAAAAATCTAAATGTCAAGTTGAGCTTCAAAACAACAACAAAACAAAAACAAACATCTTTCATAATATTTTAACAATAAAAGACTCAATAAAAAAGACCAAAAGTTGAAAAAGGATAAATAAATAAATAAAAATGGAGAAGCACAAATCACGTACCTGTGCTAATATTGAGAGGATTCCTACCACTGCTATGAAGGCAGCCACGGTCTCTGAGGAGAAACGTATGACCTGAAGGAAAGAACGCATTCAGATAAGACAAGTTAGAACTTAAAGCATTTTTCCCTCCACACAAAATACAAAACAAACAAACAAAAACAACAACAACAAGGTATGCTCTGCTAACAACTTTATTCTTTGAAACATAAAAACAAAAAGGAGCCACACTTTTTGGTTCTGGTGATTTTAAATAAATTATTCTGTTCTTTAATGATCCTCCATACAGTCAGCAGTTAAACGGTGGCAGGCAGTGAACTAGTTTTTTGAAAATAGATGACTTAAGGCGTGGTGAATAATGTTATCTTAATGCTCCTGACTGTCCTTTTCTCCTCACGATGCTTGAAAAGCAATTGGAGCACAGCAGACCTGCTGAACAGGTTGACCTAATCCGTTTATCTTTAGTTAATGTTGTTTGTCAAAAACAAAATTATCACACATTATCAGTCCATCTAGAAGCTGCCGCTGCTGCATATATACCAGAGCTACCATTTCTGACTACTCGCGTTTTCCTGCCAAAGAGTTTGTTTTGCTTATTCAAGCACAGAACAACAAAAATCCCTGCTCAACAAACACGTTATCTTCGGCGGTCCGTTTTCATTTATGTTAGTTAAATTGAGATTCCTGACATTTTTCCCAGTTATGGGAAATGGTATGCATTTGTTCATTTTTTATTTTAGATCAGATTGTGTATACTTTATTCTATCCATCTTTTCTTTGTCTATTTGCACTCTGGTCCAGAACCGGAATGAAAACAGTATTCATACATTTTTAATTCTGAATCTTCAAAGTTATGTTGTCACTGTTCACATATTAAAAAAGATTCGGAACAACCTGAAGTAAGATGTTTGTATTCAGTGTAAATTTGGGTCAATTCTTTTTCTCCTCCATGTAAAGAAACAGGATGTGTAAATGATCATTCATAACATTATGACCACAGAAAGCTGAAGCGATACAGACCTTTCAACTGAAGCTCATTTGAATTCTGGAGCTAAGCCGGTAAAGTTAAAGCTTCTGCAGCAGAAAGCAGCCTAACTGAACATATAACACTACAGTTTCTTGTTCATGGGGTTAGAAAGCTGCAAAGTGACCATGGTATTGTGTTGACAATGCTGCTGAAAGCTGCTACAATGAGCATGTGAGCTTCAGCTCTAGATTACAGAGCATCGAAAGATGACTGTTTCTCTTTTATGCTTTAGTTCTTGAGGAACCAAATATCACCATGACTGAATAAAGGAAGAGGGACAACTGGTGGAGCCGGTGTCATCTTTGGGAACCTTGAGTGCTGCTACTTTGAAACATACCACCTATACATTATAGGTTTTTATTATTATTACCATTAAGGCAGCATCTCACTGCGCTCCAACTTTTTGTGTGTTTGTGACCAAACTTGATCTTTAAAAAGTCATGGACAAACAAGTATGCCTCATAAAATCCCCTACACTGAATTAAAGGGGTTAAAGGATCAGATCAGACATTCCAGCAGACCTTCAGAAGTCTAATGTCTATATTTAAACAAGTTAAGGCAGTGTTTTTTAAGGCAAAGAGGAACCTGATTAGTGACTAAATTGTGTTTCCAAGAACAATTTAAGCACTCAAAATGTGTGAAGAAATGTAAAGTGTTACCTGTTTGAGATAGAGGAAGAAGCTGGAGTACTGTCCGGCTTCAGGGAGGTAGGAGAGAAACACTGTGATACAGATGAGGAGCACCGTGGAGTCTTGGCCCACTTTACGCAGAGACTAAACAGAAAAAGACAAAAAACAAACAGCAAGAACATTCAAATTATAATAAAACCTTCAACATGAGCAGTGCATGCAGCATTTCTGACATCCTCACAAAATCAAATGTCAGGTTTGGTTTATTTGTAAATCAACACAAGGTCAACAATGCAATGAAATGTTGAGAATGAAATGTCTTTTTTCAATAAACCCTGAGCAACACAGTTTCCTCTGATGTTTGGTGTCCTGCAGAAATACCTGGAGGTGAGGAAGGAGGATTGTGAAAGAACGTAACCAAAAGATAGAGTTCAAACCACGATTGCAAACTAATGTTGGGTTACATTAAAATGTTGTAAACCTAGGGAAAAAAAAAAACATTACCAACTATAGGAGGCATGGTTTACCTATGACAATGCCAGAAACAGCAAAGAGCAGAATATAGAGACGAGCAGTAAAAGAGAGAGGCTGTGTTTTTTTTTTTTCCTGAAGTGTCAGATGACTGTTTATAAACTGCCAGAGGCAAAGATGACACTTTGTTTTATAACTAGAAACGCGTAGCTAATCGGTTAAAGATTTTTTTTTAAACGGTATGTATTTTTTACACTCGAGCAGGACAAAGAACAGTTACAGCTACACGCAGGGTGCTTTAAGCCACCTCGCAAAACTCAAATACTTTTTTTTAACAACTAATTAGAGTAGGAAGTTAATAATTCAGCGTTTAATGATGAGGTCAGTCTTATATTATAAAGGGCACATATTGGATTCAGCGTTTCCCAAACAGATCTGACTACAAACCCCACCCCACCCAAAATGTTTTGAAGCTACAGTTTTGCTAAAATTACCTTTTAACTAATTTTATTTATTTATTTTTTACTTTTAGCTAGTGTTTTAACTTTAACAATTCAGTTTTAGGGGTTGGCACGGTGGCACACTTGGTAAAGCTGCTGCATCTCAGCGCAAAGACTGCCGGTTCAAATCCTGGCCGGGGGCCTTTCTGGGTGGAGTTTGCATGTTCTCTTTGTGCAGGCGTAGGTTTTCTCCGGGTACTCCGGTTTCCTCCCACAGACCAAAAAACAACCATACATGTTAGGCTGATTGGTAACTCTAAATTGTCTCTAGGTGTGAGTGAGAGAGTGAATGGTTCTTTGTCTCCCTGTGTCCCTGTGATGGACTGGAGATCTGTCCAGGGTGTCTCCTGCCTCTCGTACAGTGACTGCTGGGCATGGGCACAAGTGACCCCCGCAACCCGAAAAGGAAGAAGCGAGTAAAGAAAATGGATGGACGGAATTCGATTTGAGCTCATTGAAAACATTCAGCGCTCAAGTTTTCATGCTGTATTTTTTCATGGTGTTGATGCTCACAGCAAAGGGGTCTGCCTGCTCCCAGGAGATGGGGGCTCCCCACGATGCTGGCCTCATTTTCTCAGGCAGCGACTCCGGTACTGCCACCAGGATGAAGCAGATGTCCAGGAGAGCGATGGCTGTGGCTAAAATCACCACCAGCGTGTCGCCATACGCCTCAGACAGATAGGCCCCAATGGCCGGACTGGTGACAAGGCTGGCAGCGAAGGTGGCTGACACCTATGAACAGGGCAAAAAAACAGCAGAGATAAGCAAAACAGGAAGAGGACTCTGTGAGAATTATGAGAAGTGAGAAACTGTGACAATGAGTTTCAGCCATTTCCTCACCAAACCATATGCTGTGCTCCTTTCATGCTCCTGTGTGATGTCTGCCACGTACGCAAAGATCACAGAGAAGGTGACGGCAAAAACGCCAGACATGGAGATGACTGCAAAGTACCACCTGAGAAAAAAATAAATAAACCAGTTATAAGCTGAAATTGAAACAAACAAACAAAACCAGCTAAATTAGAATTGGTACTTTAAAATTCTTTTTTGCGATGTACCAAGACTTTAGCTTCCATCCATAAAATAAAATGGTGCGATTGTTGGAATAATTTGGTCTCACCATGGACTGATCTTCAACAGAGGAATTGGTGCACATGTGAAGAAGACTGTTAGCAGCAAAAAGGACTTGCGTCCCCATACGTCCGACAACGCTCCAATCAGAGGAGCACTCAGAAATGACAAAAGACCCTGGGGGAGAGAATGCACTGTTTTGGTTGAAGGAAATACAACTGGACGTATGGTCGAAGCCAAACAAAGCAAACAAAAAACATAAATTCTAAGTCAATAGTGCACTTTTTTATACTGCAATGGATGCATAATGAATTACTATTACTCAATAAGACAAATTTAAACAAATCACACATCTAAGGCTTATCAGTGCTGTGAGTTTCTCTTCAAATGCAGCTTATTGTTTCTACTTTAAATAAAATAATTGACTAATATTACTCGTTAAATATTAAACAACAGAAAAGAACAATTACAAGCATGTCCTCTTAACCTCGTTTTAAGTCAGCCACTAAACTAATACTATCGTTGGTTGGATTTTTAGCACTTCACCTTCAAAGGTTGCTTTAGCTAAACCAGCCTTTGACATAATTACTAACTTGTCTGTAAGAGTTGTCAAAATGATGAGAGGGTTGTAAATGAACATGGGAATATGGACCAAAATTAATATCTCAACTTTTTTAAAGATAAATTGCGATATACAATATACCGGTATATCTCTATTTTTTTTTCTTTTCATAAAGTAATAACAAAAATATATTTCCGAGACAAAGCTTTGTCCCAACCATCACACAGGCACATTTATTAACTGTACAAAAAATATCTAAAAAAAAAAGAACTATTAACATATATTAAAGTTTGATTTTTAGACATTTATTTACAAATATTAAAATAACCCTCCCCAGCTGTGCCGCTTTCCCGACGTTAGAAAGCGTGTGTGAAGCAGCAGTGAGGAACTGTTTGTATTTAGCGAGGGAGAAGAAGGAGCTGCGTGAAGTTGGACAGTCAGAAAAAGGAGAACTACTGTACACAGATTTTCAAGTTTTACAGTGAGGGGTAGTGTGATATTAATAAAGCAGTGGCTTATCATATCGCTAAAAACATGGTCCTTAGCAGTTAACAAGACAGCTAACTTTAGCCGTCTTGTTCCACAGTTGAGACTGGGACCGTGTCTTAAGCGATATGATAAACTGCTGCTTTATTATCGCACCATGGCATGCCGTTGTATCATGTAATAGGTAAACGTGGCTATAATGACAAATTCAAAAAAGTTCAAGACAAAAACAACTGGACTTTATTTATTATACTTTACTTTATACTATATTGTTTTTTTCTTGAACTTTCTTGAATTTACCATGTCCTGGATGACTGAGAATCTTCACCAGCTTTTAATGATACAATCGGCTTGCCATAGTACCCACCTTCGTTCTGCTTGCTGCTTGGACTGACCATCAATCCAGCTGCACTGCTCCGGCGAAATGCAGCTAATTTGACCATTAAAGTGCATTTATTAAGTAAAAGTTCAAATGAGACACACCTTTGCTATAATTCTGAGCAAACAAACAATTGTTTAGGTGCTTTTCTTGTTAAATTTTGATTAAACGAGTAGCGTTCCTCCTCCTTTTTTCCTCCCTGTCCGCGCGGTCCTGGGAGCACCTCAGCAGCAAAACTATTTTTGAAATGTAGCTGATTTGACCATTAAAATGCATTTATTAAGCCAACATTACACTGAAACACACCTTTGCTATAATTTCGAGCAAACACACAATTGTTTAGGTGTTTATCTTGTTAAATTTGTACAGTGACTCGTCGCGTGCACGAGTTTACTTCCACGTATTAGCTTTTTGAAATACAGCTGATTTGACGTTCAAAGTTAATTTATTAAGCAAACGTTAGATTGAGACACATTTACTATAATTTCGAGCAAACAAATAATTGTTTTTAAGTGTTAATCTTGTTAAATTCTTGCTAAAATCTTCCCGTGCATGCTCCCACGGCTGCCATTTGGCAGCCCATCGATTTTTAGCACAACACCGGTCCACATTTCCGGGTTGTCAGTGGTGACGCGCAACAAACGCGATACGTCAGCGGTGACGCATATGGCAAAGCGACATTTTTATGGATTTTTCCACTTTATTAGACAAATATGGACTGATGCAACTTATAGGGCGGAGCGACGTGTACGGCGGAAAATACGGTAGTGCCACTGTGCTGCCTTATGTGGGATGTTCAATGCATTCAATACGTGATGAAGTCACAAGAAGTTACACTTTGGTAACAGTGACCAATTATTATTATGCATAAGCTAAAAAGAGCAATGGTTTTAAAGTCAATTTATGCATTATAATGAAAATGAATATGCCACCTGCAATTTGCCAATATGAAAAACAATGATTTGGTGTGAGGCCGAACAGACACCTGTTAGTGTGTGTATTACCTTCACACCATGAATAAGTCCATTCATCAGGAATGTGTGTTGGGGGAATGTCTGATGTAATACCTGCAAAACAAACGCAGATAAAGTTAGTGAAACAGCTTTATACATAACTTTGCCATTCACCACCACACAAATGTTCTTTTTTAATGTACAAAGTAAAGTAACATTTCACACATTTTCAACAACATGCAGATAATCTAGTAAAAACAATTTCAAACAGCATTATGAAATTATTATGAAACGAAAACCAACTTGGGACATTTATTGAACTCTGAGGTTGCTTTAAGCTCGTCTACATTGCGTCACCAGTCTGACGTTTGGCTCTTTCCACATCGCATGCTGCAGCTGTATGAACAGAAATGCTAGGATCTCTCTGCAGATGAACATGGTTGACATTCCTCATGTGAGAACTAAATGCTGTTAAACACCCTCATTTTTGGTCATGAAGTCTGCAAACAACTTTTTTATGTTGACAAGTTAATCCACATTAGAGGTCACCCTCAGTCTCAGTCAGTATATTTCTACAGGAGTAGGCCAGAGTTTATGAAAAAACAAAAAAACTTATCAGGAGGGTGAAACTGTAGAGCCGTTCTGTTTAAAGATAAACCAGGACTTTTATTTCTTTCAGAAAAATAGTGAAGTGGTGGGTTTTATTTGTTTGTAAGAGTGTTTATGGCTACAGGTCATTTATCTCACTCTGCTCTATTGATGAAGTACATTTACCTGTTTGATAAACAGGACAGAGTCAGAAATTACATACATAAACTTACTTAATTTTATTCCTAAATGAGCACCTAGTTGTAACAGATTTACATCAACCGCAAAAGAAAAAATATAAAAAATTAATAACATCAGATTAATTACATTTGAAAATTTGTTACCAAAATTCAGTTGAAAGTGCAATAAAGAAGGTTTATTTTGGGATTGTAAAAAGTTAAAAGAAAATAAAAAGCCGTGTTCTGCTGTGGCTGTATGTAACTGAGTGACAGAATAAAATGCATCATAAAATACATGCAGCCAGACAAACATAGTGTGTCGTAATACTTTTATCTTTTTATCCGTAAGAGTGGTGAACAGATCAATTCAATCCACCGAAGGTTTAGCTCAAAGTCCAAGTTTGTGTCATTGACACTGCTGTGGGAACATGACGCTTTACTTTAGCTTAGAACACGCAGCTTGCCCAACAATAATGGGATCTGGTTATTACTAGAAGAATCAGTCCAGAGGACCTGACTTGACATTTTTAGATTGATCTGGTTATTGTTTAGGGTTACAGAGAAAAAGCTTAAAGTACAGCCAGGACTAAGAATCTCCTCTGTTCCTCCAGGGATCAGTTAAACAATCAGATGTTAAATGTTTACTGTTGCTGTTGGTTACTAATGAAGCGTGTGCTCACTGGGAGCAATCAAAGTACTTCCTCTCATCTTCAGGCAGACTAATTAATCCAAAATGCAAATTCTGCCTCCACTCAGTGACCGTAAGAGCAGCAACCCCCCCAATAATTAATACTGAACAGTTACACACACAAGCATCTCTTCAAATAGGAGCCTCCTGATAAGTATGCATTTCATAAAGCTGTCATGTGGCTTACAGATGCTTCTGCACAACCTGAGATGAACGTTTCTGCCACAAATTGACACTGAAATGCGAAAGAGTAAAATATTACCAGCATTTTCTGGAAAACTTGACTGAAAAATGGAACGCTGATTTCACTACAACTTAACTACCGTGCTGGTATAAATAATGACATTTAGTTTGAAGTGATTTGGTAAATCTTTTAGAAAATGCTGAAGTATAAATCTAATTTCCAGCTGAAATTTAGGTAACTTGCTTTGATCAAGATGCTCAAAGTTTAAACTCACATAAAACTCCTCACAGCTGCTACATAGCTCAGTGAGGTGAAAATGTGGTGTAGCTTGTCTGTTCAGTATCTGTTCTGTGAGCTAGTGTGAACCAGTGACCCCGCTGATAAGCCTATCTGAAAAGGCACCAGTACAACAAGTTTGATGCCCTCATCATATGCCTCAATTAGTATTTTTCAAAACATCTATCAAATGGATCACTTGGAAAAAAATATATATATATCATCCAGGTTTTTTTTGTTCGAAGATTCAATTATTCATAGACACTGATGGGTCCTGTGTTAATCAAGTGAATAGGAAATGTCACTCATTGACTAGGGTTTCAGAGAGGGAGACATACAGCAGGTTACGTTTCTTGACAATGCTTCTCCTCAGAGTCTTATTCAGGCTTACCGTGAGCATCGGGGTGGTGAGGAGACCCCATGCAAAAAACTCCAAGAAAATGACCACCACGGCATGGTAAACACTGGGCTCACCGATTCCCTGAGGCTAAACACAAACACACAAAGGCTGTTAAGTTGACAAGCAACAATGATTTCCATGTACTTCAAAATGGAAGCAGCATTTGCCAAATTATATAAAAGAGGAAGAATCACTTGATCCTGTGGGACAATTCACAGCTGGGTATAAATTCACTTCTTTACACAGAGCAATAATATCTGAACCCAAGGAGTTCTCACTCAGCTTTTACAGTCCTGAACGCTGATTTAAACAAACAAAGACGGCCCCTAATCATCAAAATTGCACAGACAAGTATAAATCTAGTTACCACTATTTAAATATGCTCAAAATAGGCCACTGCTCAAATGCACAATGATTCATAAATGTAATTTGAATGCTACAAATAAACAAAATTAGGGAAATCTTGTGTTCAAAACAATTTAAATAATTCAAAGCAACATTTTATTGCTCACAAGCTCCAAAATTAATAAAACTAAATACTTTTAAATAAGCTAAACACAAAATTATTAAAATGTTTAGTTTTTTCCCCACATCATTTTGCTCCAAACATCTTAATGCTATTTACAACATGAGCTTTGCAAGCAAAAGATTAGAATTATATTCTAACTGCAAACATGACCAGCATAAATTAAAAGTTTGGAAAGAAAAATAACTTTAAATCTATGTTTAATTACAGCGTTAATTAAAAAAATCCCCACAGAGTGCAGATAGACCAATTAATCAACAAACAGATTTAATCCGTTGATAATGACCACTTTAAAATAAAATAGCAATCGGCCAAGCCTGCACATTAGCTGCTACAATGAGCTCACTAAATCCCACCATTTCAATTTTTTTATGACGCCTCTCCTCTATATAAATTATTTTAGTTGTACAAGCTCTGTTCAAGCTTTTAAAATACGTTTCTGAGTTAAGCAACTTATATTTTGTTGAACAAAAAACAATTATTGCCAAAAAAACTAAATAAAATTGGAGTTTTATATGAATTATCCCTGCTGCCCCAATTTCTAAAGATCAGTATCGGCATAAGAAATTATCATATTGATGGAGCTCCATCACAAAGTCAAGCTGTTTAAATAAATTATAACAGCATTGTTCTGCCCAACTGTCAAATTTTACTATATGAGCAGATCAAGAATATTTCTTAAGAGCCCGACCAATATATTGGTAGAGCTGATAATTTAGGCTCAAATTCCCCCCCGGGGATTAATAAAGTATGTAATGTACGTATGTATGTAATCTATCCATCCATCTTCTGATATAAACATTTAGGGACCTATCAGTATCTGTGATAACTGTCCCATTATGCACCAATACAAGCACTTCTAATTTTCACCCCTGAAATGCTGTGAACCAGCTGTAATTGTAGAATGTATCAAGCAGAGTGCGCATGAATAGGCCTGTCGCGATAAACAATAAATCAATTAATCGCACGATGAATGAAAATTATCGACCTCATTTTCATTTACCGGCTTTATCGTTTCTTCGTCTCTCTCCTTCTACTGAAGACACTGGATGACTAAAGGCTCAACACCCGTGCTCTTCACTGACCCCTCCCTTTAAAATCTGTTTTAACCGTCCAAAATCGCGTTTTTGGATCATTAAAAACAGCTAAGCTGAGAAGCTAAGCTACGAGCCAAGCTAACAAGCCGACCTCTGGAATAAACCTCTGTCTTGTCGAGATCCAAAATTCATGGTTACCTGTGCCTTTGTGTAAAAAGTTGTTTTTCTCTGCAAAAAGAAGCTTAGAACTTGTTTACAGATTTTTTTAAATTAAAACTTTTGTGTGAAAAATGCTATGCTAAAGAGCTCAAATCAAGCGTCTGCCATGTCACCATGACACGTCAAGGGGCCTCCCTCCCATTTTTCTTAAAGAGACTAGCTGCTCAACTCTCCATCCTTTGATTCAGTCTTACACTACCATTAGGTGGTCAAAAAAGGTACTACATTCCAAACAAATTAGCATTTCTTCTAAATTTTTACAATTATTATTGTTAAATTTCAAACAATATTATCGTTTATCGCAATAATTTTTAAGACAATTAATCACCCAGCAAAATTTATCATCGTGACAAGCCAAGGCATGAAGACTGCTTTCAAGTCACAACTGTTCACTTTAAATTTAACTTTTGACGTTCAGCACAGACAAAGCAGGGAGCAATACTGTGTCGGGTATTTTGCAGAACAGAGCATGGTAAATTTATTTTAACTGATCTGTAAAGCAAATCAACAAATTCTCTTCAATCCTCCAACCCGCTTGTCATTAGCTACATGCCTCTCCAGTTAGCAAGCCAACGCTTAGATAACCTAGCATAGGCTATTGCCTTGTAAAACTTTGTCCAGAACAATAAATCTAATGTTGTGGTAAATATATAATATCAATTTTAGTAACCTTATCTTTGTTGTCCTCAATGAAATGTATCGTTTGTCTAAAATCTTAACTTCTCTGCAAAAAAAAAAAAAAAATGTTGATGTGGGCAGCTGTTGACTGTTTAAACAATGAACAGGAAAGGGCGTTTCTTTGTTTAATTTATATTTATGTAACACACTTGATAAATTTATGGCGATTAGTGGAGGATAGAAATTGTGAACGCACGTGAGGAAGACTGTTTTTATGACTAGTGCACCACTTATAAACCTACTGTGGGACTACGTATAGCGTGGATCTGATTTGCTTAGCTTCATGGTTGCTAACAGCTGCTCTAAACACACAAGCCCCGCTCCCCTCACTGTTTTCTTAGATTCTTGGGGGTGGACAAAGCTCAAAAATGTTCAGCCATTATATCGGTTATCGGCAGATGCATTTCCCGCCCAATATCAGTATCAACGATAACCAAAATTTCCCCATCGGTCAGGCTCTAATTTCCTTCATCAAATAATTGATGTCATTTTGTCACAATTTTTTCATTTTATCCTATAAAACTAATTATTTAAAAAACTTGCTGTATGTTAAAATTATTGCATTCAACGGCATAATAGTGGGTGCTGAAAAGTTTATAGCTCACCGTAAAAAGCAGACATATTTGTAATAAGTGAAATATAAAGAACTCTATGAAACACTCCTTTGTGGCAAAGTCTCCTCGCTTCACAATAAATCAGTGTGGTGATGAAACCATGTTGCCACGCAGCAAATACAATTAAATGCGTTAATTGTAACGATTATGAAGTAGGCCAGGGCTAACTTTAGAAACCCCTCCAGTTTTTAAATTTGGCCATCCATTTAGTCACATAAAATCAAGTCAACAGTCCAGCTTGTGATGCAAATCATACCTGCTCAGACAGTTCCCACCCCTCCTATCTCCTGTGTGTTCATCTACAATACCTGCTTAGCTGAAACACTGAGGAACAATCTTTACAGTTTCATAAGAACAATGCAACTTCCTCATTTTGTGAAACTGACACCCAGCAAAACATTAGGAGATCACGTACGGTTATTGACCAACAAGCTTTAAACCAAGTATTTGCTATGGCTGGATGATGAGCTGGTGCTTGAATGTGAAGCCATAATGTCTGAGTGGTCAGAGGAACCAGGCACTTATAGAAATCAGAGCAACATCTTCTCAAATGCTGGCTTTACAGGATCATGAGATAACATCTGAGGGAACAAAACATGCGGTTCTCTTCAGTATGCTTAGTAGCCTCTCATATGTTTGACAAAGCTGTTTAAATATAATTGCACAACAAGTAGTCATGGAGTGCATCACCCCATTTATAAACACTCTACATACAACTCATATTTGGCCAAAAGCTAAATTTAGGACCAAAATCTGTTATCACCATCTGAATGATTAAACCAACTAAAATAAAAATAATGAGCCCAACTGATGTAACAATTAATTACGGAAGTGTAATATCTCAAGTTAAGGACAAGTTTGTCAAACTTTTACAATTGCAAATGACAGGAAAAACATGCCCAGAAATGTGATTGACTCTTTTAGATTACAATACTATAGGGACTGTGCAATCAATATTCACGTTTCTGTAATGCTGTTGAGTCGACTTGCTTTTAAACAACATAACCAAACCTAAATGCTCACGTTTTGTCTAAACAACATTACTGAGAAATTTGACACCCTTACTAAGAATCTATTTGCAAAACAAGTATCCTATTTTGTTCATTTAACAACGACAACAAAGAGGCTTAAAACCGCATCAGGATGGAAGTTTAAAGTACAACGGGTAAATAATAAACTCAATGAAAACACTTAGGGAGCTCATAGCATTGTTAGCTTGTGATACAGTCATATTTGGAGTCAACAAATAACAGTTTGTGTTCGATGCAGTAATATTCAGGGTAAGTGAGTATCTGTAATGAAATACTATTAATACAAGAAAAACAACCTTATGGCTGTCATTAGCCCGTTAGCGTTACCTGAGCTGACGTGTAAACGAGTAGCAGGCCAATGCTAGTTTACCGTTAGCCACTTAGCTTCAACACAAGCTAGCGTTAACCGTTAACATGACGATAAACAGACCGCCACAAACCAAACGAGCTCAAACGACTGGGTTTGCACGAAACAAACAAGGCTTTCCGTATGACACAGTACCCGAGAGCTAGTGTACGTCAATGGCAAGGTAAGTTAACGGAGAAAAATAAATATTTAACTCACACTTCCTCCATCTTTTATTATAATTTTCTTTGCAAGAAGAATGCTGCGGTTGAGCCGCTTCTTCTTCTTTTTCTCTCCCGTCATCGTTAACTTATGTCCATTCTTGTTGTCAAGGGCTTGTCGTTTCTCCTAGAAAAAGCAAATTAATACACTAATTTTGGCTACTAAGCTCATTACACTTCAACAGTCGGCTACAGGCAGCTAGCAGGATGCTAACTAAATGATGATTTCTCATCCCCACCTCACTTCAGCACGTCTTCCTGTACTGAAATGAACCCGCCCCGCCCCACAAAATACTCTCCTACTATTGGGTGATTTTCGAAAACGCGATCATACTAGGACTTTGATTGGCTTAGGGCGAAGTTGGTGATCAGCACCTCACGTGGCGATGTGCGAGCATCACATCGCGGGTAACAAAGAGGAAATGCCATATTTGGAGATCAATGAGTTTATAAAGAAATGTAGAAGTTGCGTCATTTCCACGAAGTCAATAAACACGTTCCATTCATAAGATGGACATAAAATGCAACACTTTTTAAATTTTGCATAAATATTTAAGTGCTAATTAAATTTATATCTTCAAATTTACATAAGATCTCTGAAAATTCATTATCAGAGTCAGAGATTCTTTATTGTCGTTCACTCCACATGTGGTACATGTGGTGGAAACGAAATTATGTACATAGGGTCCCAGTTACATCCAACAATAAAATGCAAAAGAAAAACAGTAATAAGATTTAAGATATGAACTAAGAAAAACATAAACTAAATATATATGTATACATTACAATATATAATAATATAATATAATATAATATATATATAATTATGTAGTGCCATCATAATAAAACTTTATTCTATTGTATGCCACAACATAATTACAATTGTTCACTCCCTAAAAAGGATAAGATACTTCCTCCTGTAATTAAAATGGTAACAATACCTCACTTTCTAAAAACTTGCATTTGACAAACATTATTTTTATTTGCATGAATCGGAGCATAGATTATTGTGAGATATTAATTTATTTCAGCTGGTGACATGAATCTGAATCTGTTCACATGCATAATTCCCATATTAAAAAATATACAGGCATGCACAAAAAAGTTAACTTGGTCTGCACAGCCTTCTCCTAGGAAACTACTCAGTCAACCTAAAAAGTAAATATTGTACACAAGTCAGATAAAGTCAGATTAATCAAACTATTAAAAAGACTAAACATCTGTGAGATTGTTAAATGCAGTGTAACATAGCTCAATGCTTAATCAGTATGTACAAGGGTGAAGTTTTCATAGTACAATTATAAGATATTTTTCTCACATACTAAATTCCAATTAGTTCCATGATGGTTGAAGCCAGAGTCTTGATTAGTAAAGACGAAATACTTGATGCCCAGTTGCTCCTTGCTCGTTATGTTGTTGGGTTTTTCATGCAAAGCTGGTTCAAAATACTTATCTTTTATAAAAAGTGTTCTGTACAACTTTAAAATGTGTTTAAAAATGAGTGTATGTAAGATCATGAGAAGTTGTCTGGATCCATCATAAAGACTTGGAAGAATCATTCAGTGTCATTCTAAAAACATACAAATTCTCAAAGCACTATTTTCTTAGCAGCAATGACAAATGCAAAACGTCTGTAAAAACAAAGTGCTCTTTTTGGGTTTCAAGGTTCATGCTCAATAATGCTCTTTTTGGGTTGTGCTAATACATACAGTCAGAATATTTGGAATTTTCCCCAACATGTGGTATTCAGTGTCAACTTTAATCTTCACCCTCATCTATGTAAGGGATGTCCAGGTTATAGAGGCTCCCATTAAAAGGCTTGCTGGTTGTGGATGAAGCTTCTTGGCTCCTGGTCTGAGGAACATTTGCGCTGCATCTTGAGGTGAGCTCTCTTTGTTCTGTATCTGTCTGAGCCCTCACATTTCGGACTCTCTGTGCCAGATCAGCAGGTTTATGCGAACAGTCAGGTTTCTGAGTTTTCAAGAGTCCTGGGAACAGAAACACCAGATTGTTAGACATATTTTGTATGAATTTAGTAAAACTGAAGCACTTCCTGTTTATATTTTATCGCCTTCTGCTGAAGGGTGAAATTGGACGATAATGCTTTTGCTCATGTATGTTTTTTTTTGGAGTCAGCTTTGTCTGTTAGAAAAATATCTCATGAACCACAGGACAAATTTTAACAATATTTTCAGCAATACTCAGGCTATACAACTGATTAACTTTTTAAATCAATCCAATTCAAGATGTCTTCCAAAGCTAATCAACAGCAGCCGATACACAAATGGCTATAAATCAGTCAGATTTACAGCGACTGAGCTTTCAAGGATTGATCAAAACAACTCTGTAATTTCTTATTATAAGATTATATTAATCCATAAGGCATGGAAGGTGACAGGTGATATACAGTATAGCCCCTCGCTACTTCACGGTTCGACTTTGGCGGACTTGCTCTTTCGCGGTTTTTCAAAGTAAGATTGGACATGACACACAATTGGCTGATTGATGGATGAGTCGCAAGATCAGTATGAATTTTTTAATTTAAAATAAATTTTTTTATCACACAATTTTTAAAAACTGTTTAGCACATACTGCACCTGTGTGCAGCGAGAAGCTCCCTCCTGCAGCATAGAAGTGGGCGTGGCCAAGAGTGCTGGCAGGTAGAGAGCAGCCAGTGGTAGAGAGAGCGGAGATAATGACATGCTGTGCTCTTTTAGAGCGTTTAGAAACATTGTTTAGAATATTGCAAGAGTGTGGTAAGGGTTTAAAACGCATATATATATATATACATATATACATATACATATATACATATACACATATACATATACATATATACACATATACATATATACACATATACATATATACACACATATATATATGAAATAAACTACTACTTACTACTTGTACTACTATTCATACTTTGCGATTTTTCACTTATCGCGGGTGGACTGTGAAAGGAAACCCCCCGCAATAAACGAGAGACTACATCCTTTCAAAAAAATGCTAGGCTTTTATTTTTTATGCCACATGTGGAAATGGTAAACAGTAAGTTGTTACTTTTACAACCAGCGTCGGTTAGAATGTAGGAAAAAGGAAGTAAAGACTTTCAAAGCCAAACATCTGTACCGTAGTAACCACTTCATCCTTATCGAGCTTTGTGTAACTCAGTGATTAAGAATGAAAACAGGATTTTATGTTGCGACACCAAACCAAAACAAAGGAACTAAAAGTTGGCCTGCTGTAGCAGAAAACCATTCTACAGGGTTTAACATAGATGACTTTTATTGGGAGTTATTTGGCTCAACATAACAAAATAAATACATCTTTCTCTCTGACAACACTTATATGACCCACTGCTTGCATGAATAAAATAAATGTAATCTTAAAATACAAAAAAACAAGTACAGGAAAATGTACTGCACTCTCATATTACCATGGAAGTATTTCTTGATGCACCCCAAATTTAGCTAATATTCTGATCCCATTTAAAAATTAATTGACCAGCAGTTTCATTAACATTTCAGCCAATCTGCCCAAAAGTGTGTGTGTTAAAGTGCATTAAAGATGAAATGTCTTTAATCTTTAAAACCCACAGCTGAATTTACACAAACTTAGTGAGAAGAGAAACATGCTTTAAAAGGAATTAAAGTAAGGACATCTAAATGAAATGTTGCTTTTTTGTACACTGGTGCGCGCATGTACACACAGTATAGTGTCCCCCCCCACATTACAGATGCCTCTGACGCCCATGGTCTGATCAATAACTAAAGGTGAAGCAAAGAATGATTTTTAAAAAGACATAACTTCTTGACTTCCTGACAGTTATCTGTCACTCCAGCATTTATTTTACATAAATGAAAAGCATTAAATTGGTTGCAGTGCCAGACACCAGCATCCCATCCTTCTGACAGATGATAAGAATTTGGTTTTAGGTTTACTTGAATATTATCAGGAAAGAATACGTGAGTGAAAGACGCTTCTTATAAACAATTTAACCTGAAACTCTGAACAGAAACTGCTCAGAAGTACGTGAGTTCAGCATGTTACCCTGCTGATCTAACCAAATTTTAAAAAGTCTGAGTTTAGGTTCAACATGGCTAAGTCCAACTTGCTTCATATCACACGTTTCAGATCTTTTTTTAATCTTGTGAACCTCAGAGCAGTAATCAGAATCAGAATAAGCTTTATTATCAATGCACAGTGAAGTACAGTGAGATTATAAGACACTGGTTGTGTTTTCTCCTTTTTAAAGGCCCACTCCAGAAAGCATCGGTTCTTAAATGAAGGAACATCCATATGTACTCAGGCTGCCAAAACATCAAACATAAAGACATGATTTTCTAACCTTTAGTAAGAATACCGCCTTTATTTTGTATTCCTACAGGACTTTTTAAATCCATACTGACCTGCTGTGCTGATACATTACATACATACATAGTGTCTTTATCAATAAGACGAGATGTGGCAAACTTTGACATAAGAAAGCATGACTTGAACTTGCAGCTTCAAGTGTTGTTGCAGTCTCCTCAGATTGAGACATCGGACGTGTATGAATTATTTAAAAGGATGCAACTCTGCAGTCTTTAACAAAAAAGGATCACTGCAGCCACTTTTAGAAGTTAGTTAATGGTTAAGGTTGCAGTTGCTGAATGCGTTGCCCTGAGACACACTAATAAAGCATATTACGAAAAAACAATCCAGATTAAAAGACCAAACAAATTATCTTCAGACATTTCCTCACACAATCCAAAATATCACGGTTGTGGGCGGATGATGAAAGTTTCTCCATGCAGTAACGCAGTGGTGGGATGCATGAAAAATTCACAGTTACTCCTCAAGTGGGCCAGAGTGAAAGTAAAAGATGTTACTGTCTCAGATGCTTTGTTTTTTTTTTCCTACTGTTCTTCCCACAAGAATCATGTTTGTGACTGAACATAAAAACATGAAAGCTTTCTGGTTTAAAAGAACAAGCCCATATCCAAACTTATAACTATGTTTTATAAATCATTAAGACCATAGAACCCATAACGATCAGAAGCACATTGACCTCCTGATTAAAACTGATTGTTTTGTGAACTGAACTAAAGCGGTTTTATAGATCCAAACATAAACTATGATAATGTGTAACGCCATGAGCCACACTGGCTTGGATAATCTTTTCTATACATAAACTGTTTTCCAAAGACCAGAGGAAAGGTAAAGCATATTACCTCCCTACTGACCTTCTGATTCCAGACTTCCCAGCCGGTCCAA